TTCATGCTGATTGCAAATGTTAGCATGCTAAAATGCTGAACTGAGATGACAAACTAACTAACTTAGCATTGTCCTTGTGAGCATGTTAGCCTCACGGAGCTGCTCGCACGGCTTGTTTGCAGACATTCCCTTTAAGTAGTAATCTCAAAGAATTTTATTTAATAACTCCAAATAGCACAATGGTGATTGAACCGATGGCCCACTGATGACATCCCTTGCATTTTTTGCATTTGCAGCATTACTAAGGTTCATGGGAAAAATCAGAAATTGCACACAATCATTAAAGGCATACTATGCAGGATTTTCCTTAAAAAACAATATAGAGACTCATACAAAAGTTATACCTCTCAATTATCACTTATGACCCACTAGAGTGTGTAGTGGTGTGTGTAATTGCACAGACTCTGCCCTTTGCCCATATTTTCTTATTATGATTCTGTGGTTGGGGACGTTTCTGGGCATAGAGCCCCCAGGCAGGGTAAGTTGGGACTTTATAAAAAGGTAGCGACTGGACTGTAGGCTGCGTGCATCCAAGATGAAGCTATGAAAGTTGCAGGCACAGAGCAGTAAAAAATTAAAATAAAAATGAGGCGAAATGCAAAGCTTGTTCCAAAACGAGAGAGAATCTGGGGTTGGCTTTCATTTTTGCTAGTGAGGATGCAGTTGGCCTGTTTTCTGTTGGACCTGTCGGTGCCGTTGGTTAGCTTAGTCAGCTTTGAAGTACTGGTATATCCATTACAACAAATGTAACGGTGTTGCAGTAGTAGTCTGCAGTGTACGTACAAGCAGTGTAGGGAGGAGGGGCTACAACTGAATGTTGTGTTCACAACCAGTAAACAGCAATTCCTGCATAGCATACTGTTTAATATCCATTCTCACACACACCAAAACTTGCGTACGTGCACACACATACACAGTCTATGCGGCGGTAACCTTTTTATCTTGCCAGTCGCAGGACTCCTAAAACGAGCTAATATACATAAGCTGTCATCTGCCAACAAACACACTCAGCTGTCACCACCAAATTAATGAAACAGATCTTCAAGACTGTGACTTAAGCTATTATTTGGCACTGATTTCAATAACTTTAAGCAAAAAAACAAAAAGATTTATTATTTTTGTTTCTTTTTCTCTAACTGGCAGCACAATTGCCCAGTCATATCTCTCCTCCCTTGCAGACTATAAAGTCTAATATTTTAGATACACAGTGGTAAAATGGATTTTCAATATTTGCTTTCTTTGAATAAGTGTGATGGACAAGCTTCCCTGCCTGCTAATTCCCACAATACATTATTGAAATTCTTTTGTTTTATTAAGATATTGATTGCTAATACAAGATTAATGTCAGTGTTATCAAGTATGATGAGAAGGATCTTGTTAAAAGGTACCAACATACCTGCACTAATATGTTACAGCTTTAAGTCTGAAATCGAACTGACAAAGGTTGTTTAAATCTTGTTTTTGTTTGGTTAACAAATTGCTTAGTTTTGTGTCTTTGTTCAGCTGTCAAGTGATCTACCACAAGTATGTTTTTCAGTCATTTTTCATGTAGAAAAACTCATGAGTGGTGTCACCTTTCTGGCACAAACAGCATTTTAATCTGATGTAATTCCAGCCTGTTACTTAACATGTCTTTTGTCAATATTATCCATCAAATATGCATCCTTTTGAAAACTGTGAGATGTTTAGTTCCTATGCATTTATATTGCCCTTCACGGCACACTGACTAAGAGCACCTTGGTCAATATTTAGGCTTCATGTATCAAAGTTAAAATGTGGAGATGAATGTCAGCGTGGGGTTTTGTTCCGGGCTGTTCAAACACGGCTTGTCCTTTCAGGCTGCGTTTGTCCTCAAAGCGAGAACGAGAGTCTTGTTTATTCTGCCCTGGCACAATGGGCAGACTGGTGAAGGTGGCAGGTTGGCCGATAGGGCTCTGATTAGGGTATCACGCGGCTTTGATAAGCGGGGGAGAGAGGGATGTCTCCTGCTTGCAGTTCTTAATCGAGGAGTCGAGGGTCAGAGCTCCACTTTTGTCATGTTGGAGGGCAGTGACACTTGTTGCCACCAAAACGCTGATTTTAATTAAGCTCACGTTGCCATGAGCGAGGTAAGTCCCTGAAAGTCGTCTTCATTGTCTGCTCGGTGTTGTTTTTACTCGGCTCCCCTCGGCTTGTTTTTGCACATGGTTTGGGTTGTGGAAAATTCTCTCACCTCTTTGAGAATCCCTCACACATCTCTCCCACCTCTAGGGATTCACTGTGAAACCATGATATGAATGAGAGATCTGTAAAAATAAACTGAGGGATAGTGTAGCAGCACACATCTGGATGGGATACGTGTGTTTAAGATTTTAGGATCAGTCAGATAATTAAATATTGGAAGTATCCTGCCTTATTGCAGGAATTAAGTGGTTTTCTTTCCAGTTTTTGACCATTTGGTGAAACTGTTGGGAGCAAAAACTGTTGACTAAATTTACCTTTATGGAGCAACTTAAATGTGTACTTTAAAGAAACACATTTTCCCCTTAGGCCCTTAGTAATCTGCTCTGCTATTCAAAGCATTAATGGTGCTTCAGAGTGCTGAGTTGTCCTCATCCATTCGTTCTGGAGGTCACTGAGGTGAGCGTATAGTTGGTTCACTCCTTTTTTTGAAACTCTTGTTGATCTGTCAGGAAAAAAAAAGCTATATGAGGATTTGAACCTTGGGTCAATATTGATTGTGTGCCTAACAGACTGACCTGTCTCTCTTTTTACTCATAAGCCTCAGCTTGTCCACAGTTCAGTAAAGGGCTTTCTGCTTCTGTCACCTGTGTGTGGCATGTAAAAGCGGCTCAGCATAAAACTCTGCACGGTTATGTGGGTCATGGGAATCGGTTCTTCACACTTTGTGTGGACATGCCTGGATTGATGACCATCTGTTGGGCTTCTAAGTATGATAAATTCAGGATGAACTTTTGAGTTTCCTGTCCACATTTTCATGTCTTGATGGGTTTGATGTGCTTAATGTGTTAAAAGTGGAACAAACATAACAACAGAGCTGCTTTACATCATGCGTATAAGCAGCAGCCAGCTCTTGCTCTGGATCTGATGTGATGATTTAAGTTGATGGAAAGAGCAGATTTGTATTATTTCCAGATTTGTTTTTGGTTCTTGACATAGTTGGTCACACTTTTTGAAAAAAATATTCTAACAATACCACAGATTTTACACTGTGGTATTGTTAGAATATTTTTTTCTGCAAGTAAAAGTCTTGCATTTAAAATCTTAATTTAAGCATGGAAGTATTATCACCAGAATCTACTTTAAGTATTAAAGAAAAAGCACTTGTTCTGCAGAAAAATGGCCCCTGGGAAAAAAGCTTAGAATCTTTAATGGTGCATCATATTTTAAGAGCTTATTAAATGTTTCTTTATGCAAAATCTTAATCTGAAAGCTAACAAGTAAATACAGCTGTTAGATAAATGTAGTGGAGAATAAAGGGAAATAGATGAGCTTTAGTAAGGCACACCACTTGAGTAAACACACTTGTTTAATTTCTGTTACTGTAATTTTGAATATAATAGTGCATTTGTTTATTCGTTTAGCAGTTTGCTGTGCATTCACTGAAAAAAAGTGAGTCTGACACAACACAGCAGTAGCTGCAGGTGGGAGAGGAGTCATGACGTGCTTCCTGTTGCTCCCTGCAGCACTGGAGAAAACTTAATATATGATTGACATGTTGGGTGTCCTGAAAATCAACTGTGGGAGCATCAGGTGACTTGTGGCCCCTGAGCTCTGCCACAGGAAGGGTTCGCTGCAGGATCTAAGGCACCTGCTCAGTAGTCATGGCAACCTTCACTCTGCCGTGAGGTGGCCAGAGCACGATCCTGTAAGTCGGAGCACATCCACTCGCTGCGCCATTGCAGCCAATCCTTATCACAACATCCCACCGGCAGAGCAGGGCGCAGCAGGGCACGGCATCCTGCTGCAAGAAAACAGATCTCTTATCACTCACATGATCCCTGTCACACCACAGCGTGGAAAAGGAGTAATGATCAAAGCACATGGTGATTGATTTCAGTTTAAGGCAAATTTTCAGGAAGGTATGCATGAGAGGACTCCTCATATGATGACCTGTAGTGGAGAATTAGCAGAACCAGAACTCCCTCTAGTGTTGGATTATGTGAAAGGCAAACTCATGCTCTGGGCATTCCAGTACCCATACTGCCATACTGTTTAGTGTGCCAGAAAAAGATCAGCTATGTCCCAGTACATACAGTAGTATGTCATATGCAGTGTGCCAAATATACCAGGATGTCCTACTGCATTTGGTCAGATTTTGCAGTATGCAAGCCAGCATGCTTTCCTAGCTATTCTGACCCACAGTCCTCTGTACAGCCAAAGATAGGTCATATTGACAGAGCCAGACACAGATGACAGCTTGGCAGCTCGTTGACAGCTCATTTTGACAGCTGTCAGAAGCCACAATGGCAGATGACAGCACATTTAAGTGAGTGGTGAGCAATCAAATAGATAAAAGCCAATAATGGGTAATAATGATGGTAGTAATAATAGTCAGAGGAATTATTTAAGTGAACAGAATGTTCTTTTGTTGTATCTCCAAGGTCACGTTAAATGATAACGTTAAGAGCGACATAAGCAAGAGGGCCAAAGTTCAAGATGCAATGTAGTGACGAAGTAGTAAGCCTATGTCCCATTTTAACGATAAACATTTTGCTGTCTCTGTAGCCTTAATTGGAGGTTGCACTTTCTTCACTTTTTGTGAAAAGAAGCAGGATGAAGAACAGCTTTGTAATATCGGATTAAGGTTTAGAATGAACTATTTCACTGTCTAATTATTTTATTATTTAATTTTCTACATTTATTCATATCATTTATTTTCCTAATTTATTTCCTATTTATTAATATTAAACATGTTTGTTCCAAAATCCTGATCAATGGACTGATTATTATTTTTATTGTACTTTCTTTAATGTATTTGTTGATTTGTTGTGTTGCAGCCAGAGGCCCCTGCTGCCTCATCACTACACGGGACTCCACGCCCTGAAGAGGAGGATGATGGGGACCTGAACAAAGCTTTGGGGGTCCAGCGCTTCCAGCAGATCCTCAGCCCCGCTGCTGCCGTACCTGATGAACAGCACCACAACTACCATGAGGAGGATATCGAATGTAAGCACACCACGGCCTCCTTGTTGTTTAATGTATTTCAACATCCAGCAAGCTGGGGAAATGTTAAAAAAAACAAACAAAAAAAAAAACAAATAAACTTCAAATTAGATAAGTTCATATTTGTGTATCTCTGCTTTATCTTTTCTTCAGACCACCGTCACTCCTCTCACCACATCCACCGACCTCTGTCCAAACTGCCCTCTGAGGGACGCAGGAAGAAGGGCGGCAAGAAAAGGAGAAAGGACAAAGATCACAAAAGCAGCCATGCTCCCAGCACTGGCCCCATAGAGGAGGGAGAGGATGAAGAGGAAGAGGAGGAGGAGGTGACGGAGACAACTACTGTTCCATCTGAGTCGGAGAGAGTCAAAGATGTGGAGGTAATTATTCGCCTTCATTCTAATGTTTAAGTGAATATATGAGTGAGCGGAGAAGCAATGATAGGGACTGATCTCTGCTTTAATACATTATTAGGTTCTATTGCTTTCAACGCAGAGTCCTTTGACACTGTACTGGGGAGTAAATATATTCTAATATTGTATCAGACTGCGTACTTTTTGGACTTATATTGTTGTTTGTTACTTGTTTATACAAAAACTAGTGCTGCAAGTAACAAATAACTCACATATAAAACGCCATGAAATAGTAAAAAAATTTCCTCAAGCCCAGAATAATGTCCTCTAAATTTTTCTTTTGTCTGACCAACAATCTAAAACGCAAAAATACGCTCTTTTCTGTTATGTAAAATAAGAAAAAAGCTGGAAATCCTCCCATTTTAGAACATGAGAACATCAAATGGTTTTTTTTTTCTTAAAAATGTATGATTAATCAGTTATCAAAATGGTTTCTGACAATTTTCAGCCTATCTGCAAATCGAATAATCGATTCACAATGCACACGTGTTTAGCAAGAATCCCTTATACTTTGACAATCATATATAGGGAAGGACGCAAAATCTTTCCAAGTTGCACTGCAGATACATTATTCTTAAAGGGACAGTTCACCACAAAATCAAAAATGCATATTTTTCCTCTTACCTGTAGTGCTTTTTATTATTCTAGATTGTTTGGTGTGAGTTGCAGTTTGTGGTGCTCAAAGCACCAAAAAAATACATTCGCAAAACTCAACAGTAATGTCTTTATCCAGAAATGGTGATCTAGTTACTCAAGATAATCCACAGACTTTGTTGTGAGCACTTTCATGTAGGAACTGTTTCCTTTCTACCACACTACACCCGCCAACAGTATCACCGCGTAGAAGAAAACATGCATCTACTGCTACCTCACACTACAGCTTAGTCGAGAAGGATGCCATTAATATTAACATCTCACACTGTCACAAGCACAAGATTGTCGTCCAGATGTCGTCGTGTGTTGATATTGTTAGCGGGTGTGTGGTGGAAAGAAAATAGTTCCTACATGAAACTGCTCACAACAAGGTCTCTGGATTATCTTGAGTAACCAGGTCATGATTTCTGAACAGAGACATTGCTGTTCAGTTTTGCAAATGTATTTTTTTGGCATTCTGAGCACCACAAGCTGAGTGCCATCTAGCTCCTTTATATTGGAGAGAAGGCAGACATCTCTATGGCCGATATCTTCAACACTTTGCAACTCACACCGAAACAATCAAGATAAATAAGTGGCACTACAGGTAAAAGAAAAAATACTGATATTTCACACGGAACTTTAATGTCAGATGTAATTTGCATTAAGGTGTTTGTGAATGAGGGTACAGGAATGTGCTGCTCTACAAACCAACCCAACCTGTTCACTCACTGTTGTAGCATTACCATATTTTCCTCTATGAATATTTCAGTAGAGTCTTAATCATTCATCAGTGGGTTTCATGTTTGGTGGTTAATATGCTCCACAAAGCGAGACCAGATTTAAATTGCACCACTGCAGAATTTATAGAGTATGACTGAGGTGAGTTGTTTTGCTTTGATTTAACTTTTTGATCAGTTTTGTGTTTCTGTTAGGCTTCAGCTTTTTTTTACTTTGTATTTGTATGGCTTTAAATATATTTTACAAAACAAAAAGGAGTAAACAAATATCAACAGCATGTGAACCAAGCTGCTGACATTGAGTTTATATTGTCCCCAGATTTATCCGGATCCAAATATAATAGCATCTTTGTCGTTCACAGTGAACACATTTCTGGATTCCTCATAGAAAACACAAGTTTACAGAGCTGAACATTGAAATAACTGAGGACATGTGGCTGAATGCCTGGGAAATATAGTCAACCTCCAGAAGCTCGAAACAAGAGTCAATAGCAAAAAAAAAGCTGTTTGGCATTGGCAGAGAAGATTTGGCAAATTTTTCATGGGCGCAACCCACATACTCAGCTCTGCTGCTCATCCCACAAATACATGTTCATTACAAATGTGGCACAGCTTAAAAGGGAAATAAACAGGCTTTCCAATGGTATAAGATTTATTGCCAAGAAGCATTGTTACAACAAAGAAATAATCTACCAAACATAAATTTCCTTACTTTTTGTGCTTAGTTCATATAAGTATGTCCATCTACATATGTTTAAGACTGTGGAGCCCTCATTGGATTGTTTTTCCCTCTTTTCTCTGGCTCAAATTCTGTCTTCAGTTCATTAAAACTCTTCAGGGTTCTGGCCTTGGTAGCTGAGTGGTTACAGTGCCTGCCACTTGCAACATCACAGATTTAATTCCAGCCGTGGCACCTCTGTTGCATGTCGTTCCCGTCTCTCTTCCCCCCCTTTACACTCTGACTCTAATCTGTCAAATAAAGGTGAAAATGCTAAAATAATTATAGCTGCTGCGCAGCAATGGGTCGGGTCCGGGCATTTTTAGGCAATTCTGAGCAACAAGTAGAAGAATTGGAAGACATTTAGGAATTTAGCAACACAATCTGCCTTTTGCATCAGCTGAGGTTTGAACTCACAACCTCTGAGACTAAGAATCAGTTTCTATCTCACTGAGCTAGTTAGTCAGTGACAGTTCATGTGTAGCTTCACAAATTGACTAAGCCAGACATGCAGGTTTAGCACCCGCCATGCATGCAAAAGCAGATTTCAAACCACTGTAAAAAAATTCAGTTATCGAAACAAAAATCTGAAAATACACATATTGCATCTAGACAGCATGGAGATGTTGGTAATTTATTTTAACAATGATTGATTTGCTCCATAAGTGAAAAACTGATGTTTAACTAGAGCTATGTGCAAAGTGAGAAGCCTCAGATGGTTTCACACTGAAGTATTGACACTGGATCTTTGTGCAAAGTTTGGTTTATTTTCAAGCATGAGAAGGCAGATTTTCTAGCAGAAAAAAGACTTGAAGATGCTGCACAGTGATCAGTCACACTCAGGCAATTGTAAGCAATAAGCTGGAGCACAAGAAGATGTTTACATTACAATGTGGATTCTGCACCAGTTGAGGCTCCGCAAACTCTGGAACCTCAGATGGTCATCTACCACTCTGAGCTAATTGGCAAGTATCAACTCAACAGTGGCTTCACAAATTGAGTAAGCCATTCACTGTTGTGTAGGAAAGCAGCCATCCGTGCATGGAAAGGCAGATTTGAAACCACTGTAAAAAATTCAGTTATTAAGACAAAAATCTGAAAATACACATATTGCATCTAGACAGCATGGAGATGTTGGTAATTTGTTTGTAACAATGATTGATTTGCTCCATAAGTGAAAAACTGATGTTTTAAATTGCCATTTTTACATTGACTCCAATTGTTCACATTAGAGCAAAATTCAAAATGCTGTCAAAAATTCAGTTTTTGAGATAAAATTCTGAAATTTGCCACACATCATCTACCATGTTTTCATTTTTTCATGAACATTGAAGATTTATTTAGCAAGAATTTGCATGTATATGTTTACAGTACCGTTTACAGTCAAACATTTTGATGCACTGTAGGCTCAATTTTTGATAAATCAAAAATCTGAGAAACATAGTTTTTGTAGGACAGTCTGAAGATGCTCTGTAGCAAGTTTGGTGTCAATTGTGGGAGGAGATAGGTTTAAGAAGTTTTACAGTTTTTGAAAAAAAAAAAAGAGTGATGAACTTTATAATTTTTAATAGGTTTAAATGTACAAAAGTTTCTTCAGTATTGAGGCTACAGTTTGATGAAAGTTGTGAAGTTGTAGCACGTATGGGTGATTTGTTATGAATTTTCAAATTTTTGAACGTTAGACGCTTGCTGTAGCGCCACCATCAGGACTATTGGCTTGAGTTTAAAGCTGAGGATATCTGGCATGAGACTGGACCTTTGTGCAAAGTTTTGGGTATATAGTTGTAGCAGCTTTCTTACACTCTGTATCCCCTCCACAGTTCTTTGTTTCGGATGAAGACCAAGTGGCCAAACATGGCACAGAGAGCCCTCGCGCGGCCCGTGAGCTGGATATTGTACCACATTCTGGGGTGGGAGCAGATACTGAAGATGCATCTTCCTCAGAGTGAGTCGAGTCTACTTCACGGACTAACAGAGAAAAGGGGTGTGAAGGATTCATGCTTTAAGAATCATGTTCCACCTGCTGTAATTATTGTGTGTTTTGCCATGTTGTTAAAATGTTCTCACAGACGTTCTGGTTGGTTGGGTGAGACCGCTCAGGCGTATGCTTGATTGGCCAGTGAGGCACACACTGTACGTTACCATGTCTCAGGCATCCAGTGGGCCTGCTGGGAATGATCTGACAGACCCAAGTAATCCTCTCCTCAGAGACCCATATATATCACCTGTCACTGTAGACGACACAACACACCTCAGCAGCCCCAGGCTCCGTCTATGACATTTACTGTTTCACTTCATGAGGGTCTAATCTGAGCTGGGATAAAGCTGTGTGGACACACCTTTTTGCTTGTTTTCAGTCAACCCAGCGACATTGGATTTGTTTTATGAAATATCTTGTTTTAAGGAGGAAATAACTGACTAAGAAAGTAGTTTTGTGGACAACTGACATTTAAAGGACGGTGAGTTCATTATGTTTAAGTGCATCTGCCGAGTATCTTTTTTCGCCTTATTGATTTACTTTTTATATATTTTTTCCTGTGCAGTTATATTTTAGCTGAGGGGTTTGAACTGAAAGATGCAAGCATATGATATTAGCAGCAGTATTTAAAGGAACTAACACACAGTTGAAAGATGATAACTAACCAATCAGTGCAACTTAAGTGTGGAGATACTATTATTCAAGTATTCTGGAAAAAAGAGATTGAGACGATAAAAGGAGAGCAGTAGCAGTTTGTTTCCAGCAACACATGAAAAATGTTTCATAAAAAAAGTGTTTGATCAACTAAAAAACAAAACAATAAAAAATACCCCAACCCCAAAACTGCTATTCCTCTACTGCTTCTAGATTTCTGAGCAACAACTTCGTCTTGTTTTTCTTCTTTTACCTAGTAAGCCGGCCTCACCCGAGACTCCCAGCCCCTCTTCCCCATCAGCGCCACCTGAACACATACCACTGGCCCGGCAGTCCAGCCGCGGCTACGACCTGCAAGAGCGCCGGCGCACAGGCAACATGACGGGCACCGAGCAGGCCAAGTACCAGCGCATCCCTACTGACGAGAGCGAGGCTCAGACGCTGGCCTCTGCTGACCTGGACGGCATCAAGAGTGAGTACAGATAAATTCACACAGATTTTATGGTCATATTGAAACTTGCATGGAGGACTTCCAGGCTATAATAAGTGATAGTGATGGTGATAATACAGGTGTTTAAGCAGGGTTTGGAAGCGTAGGCTATATTGACTGGTACTGAGTTAACTGGATGGATTGATTTAATGAATTTTTCTTTCACATGAAATGTAAAAGGTTGCTCTGCGGTTTAGCATTGCCTCTGGTACAATAAGGTATTTATTTGAGTTGTTTTTATACAGATTGTACTTGTTTCTTTATGGTTTTGCATTTCATTGCAAAAAAACCTTCTGAAAACAACATGAATCACAATTTTTTAGAAAAGCTGGTGTGAAATCGGACATTTTAGGCCGTGACAATGTCAGATAAAGTCTGAGAAATCCTGGAGGGACAGTATTATCCATTTTATTTACCTGGAAAAAAATAGATGAGTTGGTTGTAACTTTTTTTTTACTGCAGCAGACAACATTTTAGAAGATACTTGTGATCTATTTTTGTTACTACTCCTTGCAGATATTTTTCCCAAATATCCAAAGGTGTGGTTTGCCTCAACATCGTCAGTTTCTCCTGCATGTGTGGCTTACTGATGGTGTTTTGTATGTATTTTTAGACTTTCGTCCTCTCAGGTTTTATAAGTTAATTACCTCTTGACTGTGTGATTAGACCAGAACAGTAGTGAAGTCTTGGGTTTGTTGATGCTCAGATTCTTCCAGAAACATCAGGGCGAGGGCGGGGGAGCCACCTCCAGTCCCTTCTACGTTGTAGTCGGCTCCCTGCTGCCCTGTGACATTCCCGGCCCCTGGCCCCAGCGTGGGGTTGCGTTAAGGGCCGGGGAGATTTACGTCAGGGAGCCGACCCCTCTGCAGAGAGCAGCAGCTTATCAGAGAGTGTGGCAGACAGGCTCACATTATTAAATTAGCCGTTCCTGCTGTCAGCTGAGGCCCTTGGACTCGGGCCCGAGCCAACATGGTGGCTAATTGTGAAACCTGGATCTCAGTTCACAACCTTTAATCATTAGTGGAACGAAACAAGGGGAAGACTTAAGTGAACTTGAAAGCTAAATAAGGAGGCAGTGGATGGAGGTATGGGCTTTATGTTGTCCAGAAATTTAGTAATTACGCGGCTTCATGACAGAGTCGAGCCTCCCAAAAGGTCCATCACCGCTCATTCTTTGTGTCTTCTTTTATCTGCTTCCCGCCATCGTAAATCATCCTGGGAAAGTGTCTCTGTGTCTGGCTGCTACTCAACAATAGGAATTATTAGATCACTGTCCCTCCCCTTTTGTCCGACCTGAGCGAATTAACACCTCTCCTCACTGATGCATTCTGATAGTTTCAGCGGGGTCAGGCGCCGGTGAAGTAATGGCGACTTTTTCCAATTTGTCAAAACTCATACAAGTTGCACGCTCCAAGTTTGAGGGTATCACGTAGTCAGACTGCTGTGCCAGCACTAGCCCTACACCCACCACAAATCCGCCTCTTCCTTCAAGAGCTGCATGCAAGTCAGGAGTCATTTCACTCCAGGGTCTGCCCCAAACCTCACTCAGACATCATAGGGCGACTTGACAAGTGACCCTCTCAGTAGAAGTTGAAGTAAGGATAGAATGAGCAGCTGAAAATCTTCTCATTTGGACAAAATTACTTTTTTTAACATGCAGTGACTGCCTTGTTTTTGCATAATGAGTTAAAACATTGATGAAGAACCATAAAAGCATCACTGTTTGTTTCATAGGATATAGGAGCTCTGATCAAGGTAAGGTATTCTTGAAGGGAATGTCACTTATTTCTGGACCTGTTGTGGTTTTGGGAAGAGCAGATCACATGCTTGTTACAGTAAGATTTTGTATTCTAGTTGAGTGAATCAGCAGAGTTTTCTTGATCTTTGAACTCTTAACACCTGATCGGACAATTCCTACTCGCAGTATCGTGTCTGTGCCATCCGGTGTCTCTCTCCACATCCTTTTCACATGCCTGGTGTGCTGCCAGCCTGAGTAACTCGACTCCTAGCTATGGGACCACAGACAAAAGCAAAGTGGCCTGGCCCTCTGTGACTTTGTGGGCTGAGATTTGAACTTGGGGTCCAAGGTCAACGTGTGCATCACGCTGAGAGCTGCAGAAGCACAAAATAGGACTGTAAAATCGTGCAGCCTGTGTTCTGTTTTGGGATTTTATTTTAAGTAACATTGTTTGGATACGTTAATTGAATTCTGTATGCTGTTTGATTTTGGTTAAAATTAGTGTTTGAGGGTGTCTGATGTTTAAAGTCTCATCAACACATCTCACACTTCTTGTCTACTTTTCCACCAGGTCATCGTTTTGAAGATGTTCCCGGCGTGCGCAGACACCTGGTCAGAAAGAGCACCAAGGGACAAGTGGTGCACATCGGCAAGGACCACAAAGAGCCGACCACTCGCAGCCGCAAGCAGGACCGGACCCCACATGAGGTGAGACATTACAGTGCTCACTTGTCATCCATCCTCTCTAGCAGGACACATGTCAATTAATGCCATGCTGAGTTTGATTGTGTTCCCTGGTTTTAGCCTCAGCAGTACCTAATTAAAGGAATACTTCACTCACAAAATGATAATTTGTGTATAAATTACTCAGCCAGTGTTTGTAAAGTTTGTAAAGAAAGCTTTGTTTTTCTTGCATGTCTCAACAATGAACGCAGAATCCAAAAATAGAGAAAATTATTGACAAATGGAAGTCATGAGGGTCCACGTTAAATAACATCATAACTATCAGTTTACAAACTCTCACACAACACAAGCAGTATAATCAAAGTCTCATTTATCCAGTTGGTGCTCAGCACTGCCCAAACACATACAACTTCTTAGAACACTTTAGCATACGAATAGCGTGACCTGGCAATCGCACATGTTTGTGTGTTTCTTAACTCTGCTAATGTATTCCATTGAGCATAGTACAAACACACTTGCTTGGTCAGGTACACTTCTCATTCTAGCGTGAGATTATTCATGCTGATTTGTTTTGAATAGTAGGATTTTAACAGATATGTGTTTGGGAAGAACAAATAAGACTTGGGTTATACTGCACGAGTTGTGTGAGGGTTTATAAGCAGATGTTTTGATGGAGTTTTGTTGCTGGTAAACACATGGACCCGTGTGACTTTACTTCATAAGGAATTTTCTCAGTTTTCCTTCCAAATTAAACGTAACACTGGGTGAGTAAATATCATTTTGTGGGTGAAGTAATTCCTGAAATATGTACTATTACTATTGTAAATGACTGGGGTAGAATATTTGAGTTTTTGTAACACTTACGACACAATCCCTGATCCTAAAATAAACAAGAATCAAGGACAATTTTCATACTTAATAAATCTATCAATAATTTTTGCAATTACCTGACCGCAATCAAACATTTGGACTGCAAAATATCATAAGTTGTTTTTTTAAAAGTTACAAAATTTAAGAAATAATGGAATGATGATAAAAACTTTATTATTTATTTATTTTTTCCAATCCATGGAAAAAATATGAAATCAGAAGGTTACAATGCTCCTTTCCTGCCCCAACAACAACCTAGATTTGCAGGATTTTAAGAAATTTGTCCTTTAGGAAAAAATATATGATAACAAGGGCTGCAACTCATGACTGTTTAAATCATTAATTAATCCTTCAGTTTAGGGCCAGGCAATATATCGATATTAAATCAATATCATGATATGAGACTAGATATTGTCTTAGATTTTAGTTATCATTATAAAGGCTGCATTACAGTAAAGTGATGTCATTTTCTGGACTTTCCAGACTGTTCTAGCTGCTGTATTATTTGCTTTTACCAACTTAGCCATTATATCCACATTACTGATGGTTATTGATCAAAAATCTCACGGTGTATCTGGTAAAGAAAGTTTTGACACACGTGTGAGTTTGACAAGCTCTTCCTTCAGCCTATCAAAAGTCAGAAAATTGTGTAAAATTCCCATCACAGTTTGCCAGAGCCTCAGGGATGTTTAAAATTGTTTTAAACAGTCCAACCTCTAAAAAATATTAAATTTACTATAATATATACAGATGTATTTTTGCTGTTGTCGATTATTTATGAATCAACTAATTATTTCAGCAATATTTAAAACTCCAAATCAGAAAAAATAGTCTAAACGTTTTCACTTATTTCTGGTTTCTGATGCTGCTGTTTTATTTGTATTTATTTATTATTTTTATTTTACCCAAGGAACATTTGCTTCAAAAGAAATACAAAACAGGCCTGAATGTGATCTGCAATAATCACTGTGAAATTCTGCAAGTGTATGAATGAAAAACTTGTTTATTTGGTCTGAAAAATGACTGACTGGGTCTCTTTTTTTAATTCAGTTGCAATTTGAGAAAGTTAAAAAAACTTTAATTATCCTTTTGTTTCTACTTCAGGCTACCATTTCTGTTTCAAAATGTAACTGTAAATCGTAGCAAATCCTGGGAAATGTTTTCCCCTCTTTCCTTCACTCAAATTTAGCACTGCCTTGTCCCTTTTGTGACGGGGACAGAGAGGGAAGGAGACAATTAAAAATGAATGAATGAGTTCTTTCCTTTCACACACGGAAAAGAAAAAAGACAGGAGAGAGAAGCGCAGGTAACCGGACACTGGGAGCTCCGGAGAGAGGGAGAGCTATGTTTTATTAACACACACACATTCTCACACACAGCTCTATCTGAGCCCCCAGCAGTCTAGGGTAAACAACAGGTCCCTGTCAGGTGTGTGTGATGAGGAAGAGTTACCTGTGTTGGGTATGTGTGTGAGAGTGAGGGTCTCGTTCTCTGTTCTGCTGTCGGCCGTCTCAGTGTTTGAGTCTTCTCCTGCACCGTCTCGCTCCTCCAGCCATTGCCGGTGATTCTGTACCGCTCTGCCTCACGGCTCGGAGGCGTCCTGCTGGACACGTACTACGGTGAAATGGCTGGGTACAAGAAGGTGAGGCTGGGTGACCGGCCAGAGTCAGGTTTGCTCCGTGTGAGCGTGATTTCACAGGCATGCAGCAGCAGACGACAAATGTAGGGAGTGTTTTCCAGCCTGTCTTAAAGTCTTCATCTCACGCGGGATTGTCACTGACCAGCATGGTGTTCAATTAATAACCTGTTAACAGATATTTGATCCTGAGAGAGCTGAAGATCATTGAAGATATGATCACTCTTGTGACTTTTTAGTATTAATTGGTTCTTTTTCTGTGTTTCTGTGCAACTTTTCTAAGTAAAACGTGGGGTGATAACATGAACGAGATTTCTCTTTTGTGTGTTGAGTGAATTTAAATAAACCGGTAAGCATGGAGTCTGTTTTCTGTTGAGGTGCAGAATGCTCCTAGAAATTTCCACCACTAAACCAGTTTGGGTGTATCAGCTGCTAAAACACAAAATGCCTTGGCTATTGAGTTAAGTATTTGGCACGTGTTGAAAGTGCATGTCATTTTGTGTGGACAGTATGAATGTTCCCTCTGTATCTCACCTACACCTGCATGTGCCTCCAGGTGTTTGTGGAGCTGAATGAGCTGACTATGGACAAGAACCAGGAGATGCAGTGGAAGGAGACGGCTCGATGGATCAAGTTTGAGGAGGATGTGGAGGAGGAGACCGACCGCTGGGGGAAACCTCACGTGGCCTCGCTGTCTTTCCGCAGTTTGCTGGAGCTCCGAAAGACCATCTCGCACGGTAAGAGATGGAGTTAATTGTGGCTGCTTTTTAAGCCTAAAAGTCAGCAGTGCAGTTCACAGATCACTGAGCTCGATATGTGTGCGTCCACAGGTGCAGTGCTGCTGGACCTGGACCAGAAGACCCTGCCTGGCATCGCCCACCAGGTGGTGGAGCAGATGATTATTTCTGACCAGATCAAAGCTGAGGACCGAGCCAATGTCCTGAGGGCCCTGCTGCTGAAACACAGGTGATCATCAGCACCAGACTGCATCAAACAGCCAGTGATTTCCCTCTAAGAGGCTCTTAAAGCCACAGTGTGTAGGAATTTCTCCCATCTAACGTTGAAATCATATATTGTATTCAAACAGATGGCACACTCTAGCGCCTCACTGTTTCAAACACATATTGCAACAACTGTAGCCACTGTGTACCAAAAAGCTATGATAACACTGATGAAACCATGTCATCCGATACTACATGGAGTATTCATTCAGGCTCCTACACAGACACACGCAACACGAGTTGACAAACCCCCTCCTCACCATGCTGGCTGTGTTTACAACGTAGGACTGTTGGGGCGGATGTAAATTGAAACAAACCGATCACGTCTTGTCTTTTGACAACTGACAAGTGGCTCAACCTCACACACCTCATCCCTCTCCTCGCATTACTGAGCTAACAGCTGTTAGTGGCCAGTGACACTACTGCCACATAACAAAGTCCCACTTTTTGAGCATAATGCAGGATCATGTATTATGCAGCATCATGGGAGATGGAATCCTCGTCGCCAATAAAGTGCAAAAGGGAATCAAAAAGGCAGCGTGACCGGCGAATTAAAAAAACAATGGTCAGCATTGGGGTTGCCTTTCCCAGGTGGAGAGAGCTGCTGAAGGAGAAAGGTAATACAATCACAGGCCAGCGCTAACAGCGGCTAACAGCGGCTAACAGCGGCGCAGTGATGCAAGGAGAGGGATGAGGCTGTTAGCGACTGCCCGCTAATAGCGGCTAACAGCGGCTAACAGCCAACAGCGGCGCTGGCTTGTGATTGCATTACCATTCTCCCTCAGCAGCTCTCTCTACCTGGGAAAGGATACCCAGATGTGGGCCTTCATTTTTTTAATTCGCCGGTCACGCTGCCTTTTCTATTCCCTTTTGCGCTTTCTTGGAGAAAAGGATTCAGTCTCCAATGATGCTGCATATGCATGATCCAAAATTATGCTCAAAGAGTGGGACTTTGTTTCAAATTTGCCAGGGTAGTAGCGAAGCGCCTCTTGCTCCTCTCCTTCGGCTCCTCAGTCATGCAGTGCTGGCCTGGCTCTCAACCAAAACGCCGAAGGCGTTGCTGTATGTCCCTTGCTGGCGGGTGTATTCTCAAGATGACAAAACGTAATGGAACCCCACAGACGACTTACCCGCACAATGTACAAACAAATCCGAAATTCTCCTTTTACGAGAATAAGTCAGATTATTGGTGGAGGTAATAGTACACCAGTGATGACATATTTATGAATGCAGACATCAATTTTTGCCAATAAACAACTGAAAATGTTACACAATGTCCCTTTAAGTAACCCATTAAGGGGATTCCAGCCTTAGTGATAGATTTATTTATTTCCTCCAAGGATATGGCAGGAGGAAAGTTTAATCAAAATATTACTTCTATCTCGTCATTTTCTCTTTCAGTTTGTAAACAGTGTTTTGGAACATAAATTGTTTAGTCACTGTAATGTCAGAGTACAGGCTGGAAAGTTATTTTGAAACGGCAAATATCTTGGCACTTGGTAATAAATTAACAACTCTCTTCACAAACACACTTAGTACTGGTAACTAACCTTTGAGTCAGGACCTCTCTGTGGATGTTTGGGGGCGGCAGTAGCTCAGTCCATAGGGACTTGGGTTGGGAACCGGAGGGTCGCCTGTTCAAGTCCCCGTCCAGACCAAAAATATGGAGCGTGGACTGGTAGCTGGAGAGGTGCCAGTTCACCTCTTGGGCACTGCCGAGGTGCCCCTGAGCAAGGCACCGAACCCCCCAACTGCTCAGAGCGCCTGTCATGGGCAGCCCACTCTGACATCTCTCCACTTAGTGCATGTATAGGTCCAGTTTGTGCATGTGTGTGTTCGGACCTGTGTGTAATTGACAACAGAGTGAAAAATTGAATTTCCCCTCGGGGATTAATAAAGTATATAAAATTAAAAAAAAATTAAATTAAAATTAAATTAAAAAAAATGTCCAAAGTTAAAGAGACAGTGTGTAAGATTTAGGGGGATTTAGTGGCATCTTGTGGTGAGGATTGCAGATTGCAACAAACTCAAACTTCTCCAGGTTAGAATTCCCTCAGTGTCCTTTGTTCAGGAGGTTTCCTTTTCTTTTTGATAACTTAAGATCCAAACGTACAGGAGGTCTTTACCTGGAGCTGAAATCCTCCCAGAGGCCTCCTCCTCTCCAAAACAAATAGACCCTCTGATATAAATTAGTAAAAGCAATTTATCTGGACCTTCTAAATCTGAGGGATTGCAAGATTATGCAACAGGGGTTCTCTGTGCATCTTACGCAATGTCCAGCTGAATAGGTGCTTCTCAAACAAGGATGACAAACAGGGACAAGAGTGCACTTATTATTTGTAGCCTTTAATATTAAAAACAGTTTTCACTATCAAAGGCTGCACATGATTCAAAGCAAAATTATTAAAGGGAGAAAAGACGAAAAGTGTGCATATCTGTTTCACAATTTTTTTTTTTTGTCTGACTTGCACTGATTCTTATAAAATTCAAGATACTCACTTTTTTAAGCCTCTCACAATCTGAGAGGGAGTCTCTTTTGCTCAGTTAAGCACTAAGGCTATAATCTGTGATGAGGTCACAAGTGGACATTCATCCATTTTAAGGGTTAAACAACCAAACCACAGCTGTATATGATGGTGTGATTGTACTATTGGGTGGTAAAAATCTTACTTACTAGCTTTAAGAGTATTTTTGCCTTTAATTCAGTTTCAGTTGAGACACAGGAAATATCGATAGAAAGAGATGGGGATGACATGCAATAAAAGTCCTGGATTCAAACCACAGACAGTGAGGTTTGTGTGGTACATGTCTTGGTAATGCATCATTACAGTATGCATTTTGATCAGAAGACTGCTGTACACTTATAGACTGAATGAAAGAAGTGGACGTAGCCTCTGGGTCTGAGAAGTGAAGCCAATGTGGAATAGCCTTAAACTTGCATTCTTTATAATGGCCAGCAGGGGGGGTCTCCACTGGTTGCAAAAAGAAGTAATATTGTATAGAAGTCTATAAGGAAAAGGGCCCTGCTTCCCACGAGATTTATTACCTCAATAAACATTTTCCTAATGCGTTTATGGTTTTAATAGCTAGTTTCAAGTCTTCTGCAATACTGTATAATGTTCATTTTGTAAATTATGGTCCCATTTTGATTAAATTGGTAAGTTGCTATTACAGCGACCTGTCAATCAGGATGGAGGCATATCCTCCCCAGCTCCACCCTCTCATCCAAATATGGGGTTCTTTTCATTATGCTAACATGGCTCCTTGCTTCTCCAATTATGTCTCTTCCTCACGTCTGAGCTCCTTTCAGCGAGGATGTGAGAGATGCGAGGAAGTAATGTGAGGATGGAGGAACTGAAGCTGCTAAATGAGCAATCTTCGGTTCCATAGCGTCAGTCTTAGCAATGTCAGTTACTGTGCCACATGCGGCGGTGTGCATTTTTACGTCACGCCACTTGATAAAAGACTTCTGTGTTGGATACACTTATGTTTCCTTGCTCTAAGCCCCTCTAGGAGCCTCCTCTCTCCTCACTTATTGTCTTCTTGATGTGCATTTAAAGGATTTGAAGATCCTTCCTAATGGCAGAGGGGGAATTCCAGAGAGGATGGGGGGTAACATAAGTTAGCATAAGAAAAGGACCCCAGGTCACTTTTGGCCTAAAAAACAAGATAGCAAAGGCCAAAAGGCCAAACTCGAAGCTTCATAGTGGTAGTCCACAAACCCGTGAATGTCACAACGGCTGTTACGTCCTCTTTATGAATACACTGGTAATTATGAGGATAAACACTAATTAAACTGACCTTTCTCTCACTGCTGCACACTTCCTGCTACTAGGTGGCTTCATGCCTGGTCACTGCCTCTCTTCCTCATGCTCACCCTCTCGCTTCCTCTCCCTGCCTCCCCTAGTCACCCAAGCGATGAGAAAGAGCACAGTAGCCCTTTCCCCAGGAATATCTCTGCAGCCAGTCTGGGCAGCCTGATTACACATCACCACAGTGCCAATCACACCCATCAGCCAGAACCATCGGTGACCGACCCGCTCATGGGCACCATCCACACTACGGGGGACACAGAAACGCGCATCGACATAGAGAAGAATGAGTTACAGGTGAGTCTGAAGTGATTTAAAAAGTTACAAGTATTCTTCATTATCCTGATTTAACTCATTGTGTTGCTTTACATTTGCAGCAGAAGGAGCCGACATTGGTGCCCGGTATGCAACGGTCCAAATCCAAACACGAGCTGAAGCTGCTGGAGAAGATTCCTGAAAATGCTGAGGCCACTGTTGTCCTTGTGGGTGAGTTATCTCCTTCTGAAGCCTTGAAAACCACACACACTTAACTTAGAATCAGTTGTGTTGTGAACTGTCTATATGATGACTCTCTCATGTTCCACCATCTTCCAGGCAGTGTGGACTTCCTGGAGCAGCCCACCATGGCGTTTGTGCGACTGCAGGAGGCAGTGCTGCTGGAGTCTGTCCTTGAGGTCCCTGTGCCGGTCAGGTTTCTCTTCGTCCTGCTGGGACCCCCTACCACCAGCATGGACTATCACCAGATAGGACGCTCCATCTCCACACTCATGTCTGACAAGGTGAGTGAGGTGTCCATAGAAAACCCAAACCACATTTTAGTTACATAAAAGTTTACCCACATAAATGAGACACACCCTGTTGCTGAGAATGAAGCCAAATATGTATTTTTTTTCCCCTCGGAAATGATCATATCTGGATGACTAATGCGAACAACAATTCTTGAAATCGGCCCAGTATTGACCAACAGTGCTGTAGCCAAGAAACAGGCTGCAATGTAATCACTTGGAGCATGTTCGCACCATTAATTAACATCCACTTAGAGTGCTTGTTTAGCTAGCAACAAGCTCCAAATATTCCAAGTGTCTGACAACATTATGAAAAAGGATCCCTATAGAGATAGACCTTTTTTTTTTTTTTTAAAGAATAAGATCCTTTTTGTTTAACCAGAAACAGCTCTGAAATCTCCAACACCAAATCCACCAGACTCCATTTAAATAAACAGTTATTTTAGCATGTATAGAGTTAGCATATTTTCATACCTAAGTAGGGGAATTAAGTGTTTATTTCTTCCAAACCAAAGTTGATGATTGTTGGAACAGTAGAAAAACAAACCAAGACGGCTTTTCTTAGTTTTATTTTGTGTCTGTCAATTTTAATGAAGAGTGTTCTGGTTAAAGAAAGATGATCTTACTCTTAAACAAAATGTCTGTCTCTGTAGGGAACCTTTTAATAATGTTGTCACACACTTTGAACCATAATTGTTAATAATAATTAAATGTGTTCCCTTAGGGTGTAACAGAAGGAATTTGGAAAAAGAATTACACTTTTCTTGATCATTTATAATGACAATATCTCATATGACGTCAACAAATGCAACCAGTAGTTTAATGACAGCATATCCTCTAAGAACCAGTCTGATCATTAGCAAAAGACCTATATATGACATATGTCTTATGTTTGATTTAACCCAGATGCATTAGAGGAATCACACAATACACTTCCACATAATTCAGTATATTTTCCCGTAAAGACTTAATCACAGAGCATTCCAATGAAACATGAAGGGGAGTAATGTCTTACACCTTCAACACCAACCATCCTCAGTTATTCATGGAAATTTACTTACTCGTCTCTTGGGGCTATTAAATGTCAATTTATTGGCCAGTTTGTGACCAGAATAGAAAGGACAAAGAAATAAAATGGATTGTTGCCCCATAAACCAGCAGACAGACCTGCAAACCAGAGATAAACAACTAGAAGAGAAATAAAGAGTCGTGTTTTATTTGTTAAATTTGTTTATATCTGAATCGCCATGCAGCAATTCCATGAGGCAGCTTACCTAGCGGACGACAGGCAGGATCTACTGAACGCCATTAACAGCTTCCTGGACTGCAGCATCGTGCTGCCACCATCAGAGATGGGAGGCGATGAGCTGCTGCGCTCTGTTGCTCGCTTTCAGAGGGAGATGCTGCGCAAGAGGGAGGAGCAGGGGGTCAAACTGGCCAAAGAGCCTAAAAGCCTTGAAGAAAAAGGTAATACATCAAATATCTGTTGTTGTTATGTGACTTCCTGGTATTGTAATTAACAACCTGCTCTTTTCTGTTGCACAGAGGCACTCCTCACACCCTTGAAAAAGTCAGACGATCCTTTAGAGCGCACAGGACGCCCCTTTGGCGGGCTGATACGAGACGTGCGGCGCCGTTACCCAAAGTATGTCAGTGACTTCAAGGACGCCCTGAACAGTCAGTGCATGGCTGCTGTTATCTTTATCTACTTTGCTGCTCTCTCTCCAGCCATAACATTTGGAGGATTACTGGGTAAGATACACGCGGGAAAGCAGGAGTCGAGTTACTGTCAGTTCACAGTTTATCGTCTCATATGTCAAACCCTCTTCACGTTTTGTCTCACTGGTTCACTTGTTTGACAAACCTTTAAACCATGTTGGTGTTCATTACAGTGTTAATTTGTGTTCTGTTGCCAGGTGAGAAGACGGAGGGTCTGATTGGTGTTTCTGAGCTGATTGTGTCGACGGCAGTGCAGGGTGTGGTCTTCTGTTTGCTCGGAGCGCAGCCGCTGCTTGTTGTGGGCTTCTCTGGACCTCTGCTGGTCTTTGAAGAAGCCTTTTATTCTGTAAGTTAATGAATAGTAAATCAGCTGACAATGAGTGTCTTTGGGTGATAACAAAAATTTAGTAAATCATTACTTTCAGTGCTCAAAGTTACATGAATGTTCTTTCAAAGTCCATGAAAATCTTTGGCACTGTTAAGAGTTAACACAATAGTCATTTGGGACACAAGATCATGCCTGCCATACACCAGAGGCATTTAAGATACTCTAAAAGACTAAAACCTGACACCCCTGCACATCTAAAGACAATGTGACTAGTGATCTTGCAGCATCACTATTTGCAGATTCCTTTTGAGATTATTTCCCATTCTGCTCCTGGAGGAAAAGATTACGCCGAACTCCCTTAAAGAAATATGACATATTAACAATAACTTATGTGTCCATGAAGACACACAACTGTAGAACACAAGAGCAAAGGCATCATATATCGACAGCATTCTTGTTAATCAGCATCAATTTAATCTATAAAAATAAACCATCTATATACACACTTTACATTTAAGATTTTGTCCTCTTGACTCTGGAAATTTGTCTGCAATGGTAAAATTGCTTGAAAAGTCATTTGGTTTAAGGAGGGCATTATTTGCAGTCTTACCCAGAGTCAGATGAGAAGATTGATACTACTCATATCTGTATGCTAAACATGAAGCTACAGCTAGCAGCTGTTTAGCTTAGCTTAGCATAAAGACTGGAAAAAGGGGGAACAGCTAGCTGGGTTCTGTCCACTGGTACCAAAATGTACCTACAGTAACATCACCTCTAAAGCTTATCGGCATATTAAATTGTTTGTTTTATCCATACAAAAACTGTTGTATAAAAAACAAGTTGCGGTTACGGGAGTTTTTTGCCATTTCTTGGCTGGGAGCCGTAACTTCCTGTCTTTTCATCATAGTGAGGTTGCCAGGGAACCTATGGAGACTCCAGGAAAAAGAGGTCCAGCACATAACCCCATTAAAATTTGTCGTTTTTACTGGAGGGTGGATTTTCTCACCTTGGGACAGAGCCAGGCTCGAACTTTCCACCTATTTCCAGTCTTAATGCTAAGCTAAGCTAACCAGCTGCTGGCTGTAGCTTTATAATTACAGACACAAGTGGTACTGTTAAAAGCAAATTAGCAGATTTCCCAAAATGTTGAACTGTTCCTTTAAACACTCAGAAACTCAGCTTATACAGTTTGTGTAAATGTGTTTTGATCAGATTTGTTTTGATTCCAACATAAGCAAACAACCCCACACAACTGTTACTGAAAATTCAGACACCCACTTCAGACAACTAATCTGAGTACACACAACAAATCATACAGAAATCTCCAATTTACTTTGGTAGAGCATTGTGCATTCAAGTAGGACCTCATCACTCATAAGAAGCTGTTTGAAAAGTGTGTTTTCAGGGTCCTTAAAGCTTTTACAGCTGCTGTGAATATGTTCCAGTGTATGAATAGAGTGTCTTGGCTCTGTGTCCTCACAGTTCTGCAAAGCAAACGACATGGAGTACCTGACAGGCCGAGTCTGGATTGGGTTTTGGCTCATTATCATTGTGATTGTCACGGTGGCCTTAGAGGGAAGCTTCCTGGTCCGCTTCGTCTCCCGCTTCACCCAGGAGATCTTCTCCTTCCTTATCTCCCTGATCTTCATCTGCGAGACCTTCATCAAGCTCGGCAGGGTACACCTGAGACTTGAAATAACAACTCCTGATTACAAAAAGTTTTTGTTGGCATGCTGCGTGTTCATGTACCCGACACTAAACTGAACTGACTAATCTTTGGATGATAGTCAAACCTTGGGGTCGAAATTAGTATGTTTTTCTAACAAGTGCACCTGAAATCTTTTGTGATGGATTGGCCTTGAAAGTAAATAGATTAAGAGTTTAACTATTATCCAGGCTTATGATTTTGGAAGGTTTGCTATTGTTAGATTTTTATGCCACACACTTGAAAGACATTTGGCTCCGGGATAATCTAATTTTCCAGAGGTTGTGGTGCTTAAAAGAGTGATAAATGATAATCCCCAGTAGGTGTGCAGGTGTGCATACATATTTGTGTGTGTATTGTGTTGTGAAATATCTTGCATTAATTTGAACCCTCTGTGTCGTCGGGCAGATTTTCAAGGAGCACCCACTGAAACGTTGCTCCCTCAACAACGCCACAGAAGGGGACGCCTCGACAGAAAATATCACCCTGGTGCTGAGCAACAGCACGGAGCCGGTGACGGTGGCGGTGCGAGGGCAGCCCAACACTGCGCTGCTCTCTCTGGTTCTCATGGCTGGAACGTTTTTCATCGCCTTCTACCTACGCAAGTTCAAGAACAGTGCGTTCTTCCCCGGAAGGGTGAGGAACTAAATTCACTTTCAGTCCTGCAACATGAACCCCTGTATATATTAACCCACATATTTAATTAACCCTCCTTGAACCCCCACCATCATATATCAAGGATACATGTATGTTTTGAATCCTAAGAGTCAAAGTACATCCTCCTTTGTAATGAACTGTGAGAAGAATTGAGACCAAAGCTCACTTGAGCCACTAAAACAGGCAATCTGAAATGCTCTAGTTCAGAAACACTCAAAGTCCATAGTAGCTGTTACGGAGCTTTTGATCTTATCATAAGATCTTCCTTTGCAGATAAAGTTTGCCCAGTTGTTATAGAATTGTAAATTGTCAAATTTCCATTTTTATGACCACTTCAAAGGAACAGTTAGACATTTTTTTGTTAATTTAATCTATAAAAAAAATTAAAATAAGATATAAGGTGTTCAATTCAATTATGTAGAACTTTATTTATCCCAAAGGAAATTCTTGTGCCAGAGAATGCTTCAAATTACAGAACAACCAGTAGGTTCCCCGGGTCAGGGTCACTCACTGGGCCCAGTTTTAGAACAACAGAGTATTAAAATACAAGATGATAAATGTTTCCAAGGAGCAAAAGCAAAAGCAGTGCGTAATAGAGTAACAACAGGAGTAAGATAAGTACAAGAGTGACTAAAAATGAACTAAATTGGTGGAAGTTTGAGAGGTGCTAGCTGTTTCCATCTGCTCCCAGTCTTTGTGCTAAGCTAAGCTAACAGGCTGTTAACTGTAGCTTCAAATTTAACAGAGACACATGAGAGTGGTTTTATACTTTCAAGAATTTAAAACTTGTTGTCAATGTTGGCTGAAAAGTTGAAATTGGAAGCATTAATTGACAAAACAATCACCTGAAGGTCCATTTAGTTATCATTCTGGATATTTCACTAAATGGATCATGTGGTTAGATAGTTTTTTAACTACTGTTTTTAACCCTCCTGCTATGTTGCAGTTTTTTTATTCTGAGTATTTTTTAGTCTAAAATACTGGCCACCCTCTCATTTTCCTCATTTAAAGTGATGGGCATATGTTGTGTACCTAATTGTAAACAACAATGATTTTTGCAGATCAGTATAACCCACAGGAATTCATGTACCCAAACAGTTGCAAAATATAAGAAAATATAGGATTATTAAAAGTTTAAAATCCCTAAATTACTATAAATGACATTCATAGAATTATTGTCAACATGTCACAGTTTATAAAGAATTAAATGTTTATCTAATAATATTTATATTTCTTCTTTCTGAATTCTTTGGCAAGCCATAATAGAATATTAATAGAAGTTTGTAAGTGTATTTAAACAGTGTGGATCAAATTGACCCATGACGTACGTAAAGAATAAACTTTCAATCATTAAATTCAAATCTTTTAGATATTCTAGGATATGATATGTGAAGCTGCCAGTGCTGCTCAAACCATCACATCTTGTGTGTTCAGTTGCGCAGAGTTATTGGAGATTTTGGCGTCCCGATTGCCATCCTCATCATGGTGCTGGTGGATAACAGTATAAACGACACGTACACACAGGTAAGACTCAAATACTACCACTAAATCTTATGTCGAAGTTTGACTTTTGTCTTTTAAATATTCACAACACAGACATTCATCATTTTGCTGTAACACCCATTTATGTCATCGTCCAGAAACTGAGCGTCCCTCGAGGTTTCTCTGTGACAAGTCCCGACAAACGCGGCTGGATCATCAGTCCTCTGGGCACCGACGGTCAGTTCCCCATCTGGATGATGTTCGCCTGCTGTCTGCCCGCTCTGCTGGTCTTCATCCTCATCTTCATGGAGACTCAGATCACCACGTGAGTTGCAAGTCACATCCCGCAGGAGTATCATCAGATTTACTCCATGTTAAGACATAGTCACATTTTAAGAGTCAGTGTGTTTTGAGTTAAATTAACTGATGTCTATTGTACAACCTGAAACTGACAACCTGAAATGTAGCAATTTTTTAGACTTGATAACTTAATTATAGTAGTTGTAACAATAAACTTTATTTGTACAGCACCTTTCATATTAAGAATGCCAACCTCGGGAAAACAATCCAGACATGAGTTAAAATATTGAAATACATTTTAAAAGTGGATGCTTGCATGCTCAGTCAGTCAGTAAAAAGATGTCTGATATAAACACATGAACAACCTTAACCTTACTTGTCAAACGACCGTGAATAACAAGCTGCTTATCAAATTTAACTTTACTTAAAATTGATTTATTCTTATCCGTGCCCTGTTGTTTACGTCTGCGTCCCTCTCCTGACTTCCTGCAGCCTGATAGTGAGTAAGAAGGAGCGGATGCTGGTGAAGGGCTCTGGTTTCCATCTGGACCTGCTGCTGATTGTGGTGCTGGGCGGCAGCTCGGCTCTGTTCGGCCTGCCGTGGATGGCCGCCGCGACCGTTCGTTCGGTGACCCACGTCAACGCCCTCACTGTCATGAGCAAGGCCGTCGCCCCCGGTGACAAGCCTCGCATCCAGGAGGTGAAGGAGCAGAGGGTCACCGGGCTGCTGGTGGCCATCATGGTCGGTGAGTGTCGGACAGTGAAATGTCATCGCTGCTTTTTTTTCTCCAATCGTTGAAGCCAAAATCCATTGAAAAAAAGAATATTTAACGTTTAATTTCCTATTTCCTCCCCCAGGTTTGTCCATAGTGATCGGTGACCTGCTGCGTCAGATCCCCCTGGCGGTGCTGTTTGGTATCTTTCTCTACATGGGTGTGATGTCACTTAATGGCATCCAGCTAACAGAGCGGATGATGCTGCTGCTCATGCCGCCAAAGTATCACCCTGACCACACCTACGTACGCAAGGTAAGAGGAGGGCCGAGAAGACGCATGTTTTTACATGAAGTAAAGGAGGTTTGAGGGGTGAGAAACCATAACTGTATCAAATAATCACACTAGTTGCCTCTCCTGTGTCTCACTCTTGATATCAAATGGAGCAGAAATGCCAAAAAAATAATCACACGAGCTTCTTAGAGCATTCTTCTAGTCATACAGTTAATTATGAAATATAAAAAGGTTGCGGGAGCTCTTTCCAGCAACAACCATCAATAATTTTCATGATTTTTATAATTCTATCTCTGAGGGATGAAACACATTATGTTAAAGTATCTTGGAGTTCATGCACACCAGGAAATCTTATGGTGTCATGAAGTGTTAATCTTCATGATTGTTTTGGTCTCACACGTGTGCTGATGAGAGTTTTTATAAATCATCTTTCTTTCATTCAGGTCCGTACGCTGCGCATGCATCTGTTCACCTGCATCCAGGTGTTGTGTTTGGCTGTGCTGTGGGCTGTCATGTCGACACAGGCATCACTGGCTTTCCCCTTCGTTCTCCTCCTCACCATACCTGTCAAGATGTACCTGCTGCACCGCATCTTCAACGCCAGAGAGATGGCATGCGTAAGTTGACCACAGGAGGGCGCAATATCCCTCTTTGTACACTTGGACGACATCAGCTGCAACTTCAGGTCCCATTTTAAATGGCTCTTGGCTTGTCTTTCAAAATGTACTATATGATTAACATAATGTTGGTTAATCTAGTAAGATCATCATTGCATTTTTTTTCACTCACGTCATAACAGCAGGATGGTCCTATAGTTTGTAGACATGCACCAAGTAGGAACTATGCAGGTGGAATTTATGTGTTTTTTGTGAACAGACGGTAAAAGCAAACAAACGGTTGCCTAACACCAGATGTTTCCTGTGAGGTAATAGACATGGCCACAGTACAGAAGCATAAAGTCAAGAGTGAGGGCCGTCTCTTTCAGGAGCAGGGGTTGTGTTTGTCTCAGTTGTATGTGATTATTTTTTTAATAACTGATATGATGCAAGAAGCAGCTGTCCCCCAGGTATTTACACATTATCTTATCTGGCCCCTTTTCAAGAGAGTTTGGACACCTCTGATCAAGAGTGTCTGAAGCACATGGAAATAGCAAGGACAAAGGTCACTAGCAGTTTTGTGTTCTTATTTAGTGTCTCTAGCAGTTTTGTGTTCTTATTTACTCATTTGTTTCTATATCTGTTTAATTTTGTTATTGTAAATTGTGCATGTTTTGCTGCAGTTTAGTTATATTTATTTATTTATTGTTATCTTTAAATGTAATTCCACCTTTTCTCTTCACGCTGTGACATCACTGGTTTTGACAATGAAGTTACTAAACGGCAATATTCACCAAAAACTTTAAAAAACTGACACATTTCCAATGCAACTACTATGATTTAGAAAATGACAAAGAAAAGGAGCTTTCCTCAAAGGCATTCTGGGAAATAAAGGATATTTCTTTAGTAGAGTTAATATTAAAAGACACAGAAAATTGAAGACAAACCACACACCACCAAGAAATACAATATATTCATGCCTGATAGTGATAGTAACTTTTGCTTTAAAGGAACACTTCACTCAAAAAATGATAATTTGTTCATCAGTTACTCACCCCGTGTCATGTTGAACTTGTGAAGACATTTTTTTCTTTCTCACACGCCTCCACAGTGAACTACGGAAACAAAAATAGAGAAAGTTCTTGATGAGTTGAAGTCAAAGGGGGCCACATTTAACAACAGCAAAACTATATCTATAACTATATTGTTTGTACATATATATATATTGTGTACTGTCTTGTAAGCCAATGTGGGCTGGGCACTTTAATGTGCATCACACTTAAATAAACAAAATCAATCAATCAAAATCAAAACATCTGTTGACAAACTCTTGAGGCCACTGTGCTATTTCCAGCCTCGCTGCCCCCGGAATTAAATGCATTAGTTCCCCATCTGCTCTCTGCTCGTACATACCAGCTCCTGTAGCAGCTCGACTCTTCTTTTCACTACTGATGCGTGCAGAGAACATTGCTGTCTCGTGTGAAAAAGAATGGATGAGGAGAGTCTTGTTGTCGCGGTTGATAAAAATCCCGAGCTAAACGACACACAATCCCGTCATTATAAAGACAATGGCTAAAAGATATTGCCTGGTGAGTCATTGGCTCTTCAAGGGAAATCGAACTCAATTAGGAGGTCTCCACACAGGATTTTAAGCGAATGCATAGGTGGAGGAAGTACAGCTCTTTCTGTAAAAGTAGTAATGACTTTGCGTAGTCGTCTGTTGTTGCACCGTGGCAGCACCGGTGTGTAATCTTGCTATTATTACACGCGACCCCCTATGACTTCAATTCATCAAGAATTTTTCCGTTTTGGATCTCTTTGTTCACTGTGGAGGCATGTGAGAAAAATAAATTGTAAATGAAATGCAAGTAACTGATAAAATTTGCTGAATCCTTAATGCACGTTCCAAATACTAACCCCTGATGTCTCCCTCTTCCAGCTGGATGCAGACGACGCAGAGCCGACATTTGACGAGCGCGAGTGTCACGACGAGTACACGGAGATGCACATGCCTGTGTAACCTGCGGCAAGCCCTCGTATCACCACTTAACTCCTCTTAGTGGACACCAAAATCTGTCAGTCACTCTACCAACCAATGAGATCCGGAGTCCTTCAAACTTGAAACACTCACAATTTGATGCCACACCACTGTGCACCCTCTTTATTATCACCGAGACATGAACGTACAGTACGTTGGAGGTCTGGTCGGTTGTTACTTTGGTCAACTTTAACTATTTAAGTAGCTTTTTATCAGATTGTTTTCTGGTTGCTCTGATTCACATTGAATATGTGGAGGAAACATGGGATACGTTCTTTTATATTAACACGCTGAGTTATCGCTATATAAGTTTGTCGCTTTTTTTCATGTTTTAAGCTCACCAAGCGCCTTATGAAGGAATTAAAAAGTTATATTGAGAGGTGCTTTTTTTCCTCATTCTGTCTTATTTTAGACAGCCGATCACTTTACCCACCTCCCGAAGCTCGTAGCACTTTTTTAAGACACCAAATCTGAACGATGACTGTATTTTATGTGATCATTTTATCATCCTAGCGTCCCTGAAATGTCAGTGTTGCCTTAGTTTGCTTTTTAAATGACTACCTGTAATTGATTTTTAGCCTTTCCTTCTTTAACCGTACGTTGTTTTTGTTTTTTTTTGTACTCATATGCAGCGGTTTAGCTGACAGTAGGCCTTTTATGTCAAACTATGTCCCTGCAGTGAGTGAAGATCACGACCAGAGGCAGATCTCGCAAAAATAGTACATGAAATTTACTCGTTACACTATCATCATGTTTCTGATCATAACACATATTTAGTGTGAAATTAACACAGTGGCATAATGAATATACTCTAAATGTCTCCACGCACATCTTTAGGGCACTAATGTATTAATGTAGAGTTTGTTTCACGTGGTGTGTTTATGGGAATCACTAATTTATTGGTTTTCTTTGTCCAAGTGCCAAATGCCTCGTGTAAATAGTTTTCTTGATCAGAACAATAAGCTGCAGTAATACATCTCACATCTCCTGATCATGTTTCTTTAAGGAGTCTAAATCAACAAAATTTCTTAGTATAACATTCCTTGTTTTATCATCATTTTGCTTTTTTTTCTGGCATCAATTAATAGTTTAAACATTTCATTCACACTTGTGAGCTTGGTCGACCAAATTTCCACATAAGCTCTGTAGACAATCTCAACATTCATACTGAGAGGGAAGGCTTTTAAAAATATATATATATATGTATATGTATTTGTTTTTGTTTTATGTCATGTTGTATCAGTGTGACATGGATTGGTTGAAGCTTTGACTGTGTCAAATAACTTAAATTCTTAGTCCTTTGTTACTCTCCAGTGTGTGTTTCGGAAACTACTTGTCCGTCTGAACTGTCCCATCTCAGCCTGACTGTCGCTGTGATCTTGTGCCTGTTTGGTGTCACAAAGGCGCACAAAATCTCAAGTGCCTGTGGGACCACGAAAGTGATCAGCAAAGTGTTTGTAAGGACGACACATGTTACAATAGTTTGCACTTTTGAGACGCTCATAAATCAAACATCTCTCCATTATTTATCTGTTGCAATATGAGGCATTATTGCTGTTTTTGAAGATTTATTTGTCACAGAACCTTTTTTTTTTTTAAATGTAAACACACTTTTGGCTGCGTCCCGCTCGTGGACAATGAAGGGGATTTTAATGAGAAGTAGGCAGTGTCGGTTTTATGTTTGCTTACTGTGCCTGTGGATGGAGTGAAGTCTGTGTATGCCAAAGTATCTGTCAAAGTCGCAAAATGCTGATACGATACGTTGTTCCATTTCAAAAGCAATAAAAGTCCGAGAGGCTTTTGCTGATGTTCCCTTGTACATTAATGGATGAAATATTGATGACAAATAAAAGTTATTTTCTATTTATCCTGGCTGTTGTTCTGTCGGGTTTTCTTTTTTCTCTTCAACAATTCTGCAACACTTAGAAAACAACCACAGAAACGCACTGTAAGCTGCACGAGTTATATAAGTAACATAACATACATAAGTAAGTAAGGGACAGTAAAAAGTGATGGACGTGCCCAGGCTAGACCTCTGTTCTATTGTAACTTATTTGTGTTATGACTTGAAGCGTGCCTTTATTTGTGTGTGTGGTATGTGCCTGGGTTAGAGAGGCAGGAGGCGGATAGGGGGGGGTGGGCAACAGGAGTAGCCTAAAGCAAACAGGTGCAAAGCTTCCAAATTGATGTACTGACTTGCCCAAGATTTTTTGGGAAGACTGGGGCCTGTATCACGAAGCGAGATCAACCTTTCCTGGGTTACCCAGACCTATCCTGGGCTGACTAACCCTAACAATGGCAATCAGGATAATCGGTATCACGACGCTGGATATCAACTCGGTAACTCAACCCAGAGTTGCTTTATCAAGAGCTGTGAACGCGCACGCAGCGGACCAATCACAATCATGAGAGAAGCGCAGCGTCACTGAGCGTCACTGAGCGTCCTCACAGAGCGCCGTATGTGAGGGAAAAAAGGTATTTCTCGTGAGGATCAGAGATTAATTCTACTAAAATATGAGGAGGAGAAAAGCAACATTACAGAAAAGGCCAACACCGTGGCAGCTGCAGGAGGAGGAAACATGCGTGGCAACGCATAACGGGATGAATAATGTTTAGTTTTAGTTTAGATTAGTTTATTTGCACATAATGTTAAAAACAGACAGTATAAAATTTACAAGATTAAACAAAGAAAAGTGCCGGAGAGGTTAGAAGCCACTAAAAGCTTATCAAAGAAATTCCCCTGTCAAAACATCAATGAAATCACATGATAGAGAAGAAAAAAAAACGGGTCAGGAAAGAAGAAATAGAGGAGGAGAGAGGGAAAAATCAAGACAAAACAAGGTAGCAAATAAAATGATGTGTAGGTTAAATTACTCATCACTGGTTCAAGTAGCTACAGTACCTGTACCTGTACATCTGACACTGATCACACCCTTGAATCCCATGAAATCAATGCTGCGCAGATGAATTGCGTGTATTACAATTATCGTCTAACATCATTGCGTCTGATAAATTGGTCTTCTTTGTCATAACGTTATATATGCTACAATAAAGCTTAAAGCTGACGCCACAATTAAATCATATCAACACCAAATTGATAGTCTGAATAAAATCATCCTGATATTGAGCTGTGTTAGAAATTAACAGCTGCGCAAAAATATACCTAGTCTCCCTCTTTAAAAAACAAAAAGGAAAATCCCTCAAACACCATGAAGTGTAGACATGATAGGCTACTTTCCACATTTCCAGCAGCAAAGCTGTCAATTAGGCCCATTATCTTTAACAGGGATCATTTCCTCCAACAAAACAAAATGTTGGCACTAATTAATGGTGCTATTAAGTGTCCGCAAATGATCAGTTTCTTTCTTATGAAGGGGTGGGATGAAATTTCGACTTCTTTCCACTCCTTTTTGAACAATCTTTTCATTGTCTGTTGTTGTTGCTTTCTTTTCTTTTTTAATGTTCAAAATAAACTTTCAAATCAAAATCAATCAAATGAATTAAACTTCCCGTCATGACTGGGCTGCATTTCTGTCAGCGGAGTCATTTTTTCCGAACAGCTGATTGGCCAGTGGGTGGTGCTTTTTATAGGATCAGATTCAACCCTGAACTTACCCTGCTCCGGAGCAGGATAGCCGTTCAGAGTAAGTTACCATGGTGATCTACCCCGATAAGAACTGAACCGGCTTCGTGAGACAGAAAACCCAGGGTTAACCCTGAAGTTACCTCGCTAAGACATTAATCCTGCTTCGTGATACAGGCCCCTGGTCATTTGCCAAAAGAAAGATAAGTGCTTGTTTTGTTGTCAAATTGGTGTGAATGCTGTATTTTTCCAATGTTTTCTTGACTGGTATTATAACCACAACCGTTCTGACAGCCCATCTTCATCAGCTTGACGTCACACTAAAACATCAACTTGACAAAAGAATAAAACATCAAATTGACAACAAACAAAAACATCAAAATGACATCACACTAAAACATCAATATGACAAAAGAGTCAAACATCAACTTGATAAAAAGAATAAAACATCAACTTTACAACACTTAAACATTAACTTGACAAAGGAATAAAACATCAAATTGACAACAAACAAAAACATCAAAATGACATGACGGAAAAATAAAACATCAACTTTACGTCACACAAAAACATCAACTTGACAAAAGAATAAAAAATCAACTTAATGACACACTAAAACATCAACTTGACAAAGGAATAAAACATCAAAATGACAACACTTAAACATTAACTTGACTAAAGAGTCAAACATCAACTTGATAAAAATAATAAAACATCAAATTGACAACAAACAAAAACATCAAAGTAACATCACACTAAAACATCAATATGACGGAAAAATAAGAAAAAAGATAATAACACGCACATCCCAAATAAATATTGAAAGGGTGCTGGATCATAAACTTCTAACATGTATCAAAAAAGGAAAAAATGATCCGCACACCGATGGAGCTCCCATTAATCTTCTGTCAAGTGACGTTTCGAGGAAAAATAAAACATCAACTTTACGTCACACAAAAACATGAACTTGACAAGAGAATAAAACATCAAAATGACATCACACTAAAACATTAACTTTACAAAGGAATAAAACATCAAAGTGACAACAAACAAAAACATCAAAATGACATCACACTAAAACATCAATATGACAGAAAAATAAAACATCAACTTCACAACACACTAAAACATCAACTTGACAGGTGAATAAAACATCAAACTGACATCCAACTAAAACATCAAAATGACATCATACTAAAACATCAATATGACGGAGGAATAAAACATCAAATTGACAAAAGAATAAAACATCAAATTGACATCACACTGAAACATCAATATGGTGGAGGAATAAAACATAAACTTGACAACACACAAAAACATCAAAATGACAACACACAAAAACATCAACTTGACAACACTAAAACATTAATATGACAAAAGAGCCAAGCATCAACTTGACAAAAAGAATAAAACATCAACTTTACAACACACTTAAATATTAACTTGACAAAAGAATAAAACATCAACTTGATAAAAGAATAAAACATCAACTTTAGACTTCAGTTTAGTTTAGCTGAAAGTATAAAATTTACACATCACAGTTGGATTAAACACCTGTTTGAATACAAAGGAGTACTATGTTTTAGACTCTGTTGTCAAAAATAGCAGAACACCCAAAATCTTTATAAACACTCCAGGCTTTCCCTTCAGGTTATATAAATCTTTTCATTTGGAATACATAACATCAATTCATTAGTTAATCTTTCAGATATAAGTTGTCTTTCATCTTTCCATTGCGTGGCTGTACATTAGTTGGCTGTGAGAAAGGCAGTACTAATAAGTTTAAGTTTGTTTTTGTTGACTTTTATCACAGATGTTGTGCCCTATAGGGTTTGAGAATGCTATCTTTATTTTTTTTTGTTTGGTCATTTTGCATATGTTTTCTCAGTTGCAGCACACTGAGCACTCAGCCCACTGTACTGACACTCTCAAATGTTAAAAGTTTAAAATCTGCTGTGAATCAACATAATCAAGAACAGACACTGGAAGAAAAGAGGTAATGCTCTGTGTCTCCAGTCTGCTGTCTCCCAGGAAAAAGAGGGCTGGATGTTCTTTCCTGTTCAGGCAAACAACACAGAGTGGGTGGGCCATTTCACACTCCCCTGTGCCCATTGTTACCGACACAGAGAGAAAGATGGCTGCGTTATTCCTGCTGCTTTTCAGCGCTGGAGCCTTGCTCGTCTCCTCTAATGCACAGGAGGCTTACAACCAACTTCCTGAAACCTACAGGAAAGGAGTGGATCTGGCCCTGGAGAAGCTCAGTGCTCATGCAGCAATCCAGCACCATTTTCTCTTCTTCAGAAGTGTTACAAAGTCAGAGATCGAGGTACAGTATGTCTGCTTTTCAGGGTCAGAGTTTCTCTTGTGTGTGTCATTACTGAGTGATTTCCTGTGAGTAAAATTCTCAAGAGAAGCTATAATCTTCAGGGAATGTGAGGATTTTATCAGAGGACACCCCTGGAGGTGGCTGAGAGTTACTCAGCACTAACCCTTCTCTTTCTCTTTCTCTTCAGCCTGGTTTTGATGTGAGCTACATCTACCACCACTTCTACCTGAAAGCCACCAAGTGTCAGAAAGGAACGGTTGACTCCACAGGGTGTCAGTTCAGAAACGACAGAGTGAGTTGTGTCTGATTTACTGCACTCAGAAATGTGGGATTCGAGAGCGACTGCCTGTTCTAACTTGCCCGTGCTTTTTTGTTTGTGTGCGTTCATGCAGCCGCTGATAGACTGTGCCGTCTGTTACAAAACATTTAGAGGAGAAATTGAGCAGGAGCCCAAACCGTATGTTCACTGCATCCACAAACCGACCCTGACAGAGGTTAGTCCGGTCACTTGAAGGTCACTTTGACCTTTATTAATGACACGCTGCAAAAAATAAACTTAAAGAATATCTTCTTCAGATTGTTTCTGACCCTTTTCCATTTATCTTCACCTCTGTTCTGAACGGCAGGAGATGAAGACAGCCAGAGTGAATCACTGCAACACACTGGGTTACAGCAGTGGATCCCTTACTCTTCTGGCATCAACAGGAGCAAAGTGAATAATTGGAATACTCATTTAGGATCTGTTGTGACACCTTTCAGGGTTTCTGTGTGCTTTTTTAAGCTATCTTTATTTTTTCATACTAATAATTGATCGCTACACTGTCGTACATATGCACAACCTCATAAGCTTTCTTTCTGTAGTATTTTGTTTTACTTTTGAGGGAGATTTTGGTGTCATATCTTCAGCAGTTTAGTGTTCACCTCTATGCAAATATGTTAGAATGCTGACTTTGTTTAAAA